TACACACGGGCAGTCAGACGCCGCCTGTTATCGGCGGCAGAGGCGATCGCAATTCGACTCTATAATCCGACTAACCCGACTCTTTAACCCTGCCTTGGCTTCAGACCGAGGCGACTAACAATGGCAATGGCTTCACATTAATCAGACTTATCGATTACAGTCGAACCCGCTTTAATGACCACCATCGGGATATCACAAATGAGCAATAAAGCGGGGTGGACCGTTAACCGATATGATCATTTTTCCCAAAAGGGTCACAACCATCGAATTACTGTACAGTACATCACTTGAATTGTAACACGCTAAAAACGATAAAATACGTACTTTTAACTAAAGTCTACAAAAGACGCTTATTCAGAAGAGCATGACCTATAGTTTAAAAGTTATAACACAAAACATCTTACCTGGATAGATATAGAAACTGGCGCTATTGTATATTTTATTGAGAGAACAATCCAAAGTCAGTTGTACATTATTTCGTGTAGATACCCCAGTCACCTTTGCTCTGATGCAGTCCATTTGGGATAACAAATCGTTGCGTTGCTCATATAAAAGTCCGTAGCTACACAGATCATTCACACAGTTGTTTGTTCTTGAATGCGACAGGCGCTGATTGCTATTACTCACGGAGGCATTTGGCACATCATCCTCTGAGTCGTAACCTACTTTCAGTTCTAGTCGGGTCTCTAAAATTTTACTGACTATTTCATCGTCAACAGTTGTCAAATCTGAGGTACATACCACATCGTTGTCAATGGCGAGGAACTCTACTGCATTCATGACTGAGATTGTGCAAGCGCTGATCTCGTCTTCAGCGATGACGGCGTCATCAGAAAGTACATCGGATTTTAGTCGACTGAAGCCAGCAGGCCGAAAGCACGCTATTAATGTTGCACCGGTAAACTGCCTCCAACTTTTTGAAAGGAACTTAATTGCATTACGCACTGAGACATTGGCATTGACATTCACTGCCGGTGATGAGCCAGAGAAGACGGTGTTTTTGATGTGCTAAGGAATTCGGTGTAGAATTTCCTTTCTGTGACGGGTTCGCAGATTCATACTCACACTTTGGTCCATGGGCTGAAGAATGCTGACCGTGATTGCCTGCAAAGATTCCATTTGAATGTCTTTCAGTCCTTTTACTTGTGGATGCCCTGTGCAATTATCCAAGAGCAACGTAAATTTTCGGCTAAATTCGCCCAGCTCCTTGTCCCATTCGAGGACTCACTCGGTGACAAGTTCTTTCGACATCCAGGCATTTTTGTTAGCTCTGTAAGTTATGGGAAGCGTAATTACTTTCACGCCATTAAAACATCGTGGTTTCTTATTTATTTATATCAATGCTATGTATTTTTCCGTGCCTGACATATTCGCGTAGCACAGAAATGTGATCCTATCCATGACTTTTACGATCTGCTGGGCTTATCGTCAGCAAAACACAAACAGAGTCCTGGAGTTGCTCGGTAAAAGTCCTGATTCGTTTGCATTATACCCGTTGTCATCCTAAAACGCATGCAAAAGTTCTGGCAGTCGAACTTTCGGCCGATTTTCACAGACTGCTCTGTCCGCGGAACACTTTCGTCATGTGCACGTTTATACACAATTTGAGTTCTATTCTTCCACCTCCGCAACCGCGTTTCTGTAGCAGCACAGACTTTTCCAAATGCTTCCAGAATTCTTCTGCCTTTTTCTTCAGAAGCGGGCCTGCAACTCTTTGGTTGTGCTCACGAATCGAAATCATCCAGCCTTCCACTACAGTTTTAACTTCTTCATCTTTACCACATCGCTTCCTTTTCTGAGAACTTGCAGTGCCACGCGAGAAATTCTGCCGGAGTTCCTTTTCACTGGCAATCAGCCTGGCTAGGGTAGGACGAGAAATATATATATATATATATATATATATATATATATATCACGCGATAACTTGACCTGCAAGGTTCCTGATTGATAAGTCGTAATTTGTCCAAAACGTCCAAGTTTTCTGTCAAGGACAAATCCTTTCTGTTACTTGGCATACTTGTGTGTAACCAACAGAGCAGTGACAAACGTGGAGCGGAGAGTTTACCCGACTTTTCTCAGTTCTCGAGTTTTGAATAGGGCCGTGGGTTTTCTTACTGCCGTCTGTACATTTAGCTTGATCTTGCAATGAATGGTATAGGTAACATTTTCTGATCTGTCACTAGCGCCGCGGACATCTTTTATGTGCTTGACTCGATCGGACTGGCTAACTCTGGGGCAATCTTAATAAAGGGGTCAAAGTGAGGGCATAAAATAGACAAAGAGACAAGAGCACAGGCCAAGCAGCTGGTAACTTAAGCGGTGGGACGACCCCGGTAATTGGCAATTAGACGGTGAAAAGTTAGCTTATTTATGAGAAAAGAACTTGTAGTTTGCAAAACTGGGCAATAAAACGAGATGGGCTTTAAACCAGGTGGGCAATAAATCGGGTTTGACTGTAATTAGTTTGCTTCAATGACTCACCGAATAAAGCACATTGTGTCTGTTCTAGCCTGCTTTATCGTGGTTGTAATAGCCTGAGGATGAAACCCTGAAAACAAGCTTGTTCGCTACTTTCTGTTTCTGATGTCTTCTCTATTGTCATCGACCAGCGGGTGACACGCATACGCTGCAGGTTGGAGGTAAACAGTGCATGGCAGCTCATGGACAAGGCCAGAATCAATATACCGGTGGATCCCAGGAAACGCTTGGGCTTGGTTATTCAGCTGAAATTTCTGTCACCCTACTAATGCACGCCAAACAGGGCAGAAAATCTGTTTCGGACAATCAGTTGATGTAGGACCGTCGCTGCTTTTCCTGTTACATGCATCATCACACTCAGGACGGGACACGTGCATCCTGCTGTGCTACTATTACGACACTGTCTTGAGTGACCGCGTTTAGACCCTGGTCAGTCGTTGAGTTGCTCAGCTGGCGTATCGCAGATGCCTCAATCAGTGAAACTTGTTTTATAATAGGTCTAGCACACCAACTTGCAGAGGTTTCCTGTGCACAGAAATGTTCAACGTTTTACACTGTATTCCTCTGTCAAATTTTATACACTTTCATTAGAAAGCGACAACATGGAAATATGTCAGTTACGCTAATAGATTTTATCGATAACTCTTCCTAAGGAAGAACATCATACATTCGGATGGATTTTTGAGTGCTTTATTAATCGTACTGACTACAGAAACCAGCAAAAGACGCTATTCATGCGAATGAGGCAATTGACAGGAATGCGGTCAAGGAATCTAAAGTTAATAGCTGTCAAACTTTTCAAAGGAAATTCAAGAACCACCCCTAATTAGATATTGGCTGTATGAATATCATTTAGTCTGGGAATTACACAGGTAATTGAGATTATTATAAGACCCAGAAGGAACACACTGGTCAATTGAGCGAAGTATTCCTTACCAAGGTGAAACATTTGACACACCCGATTCTCCGAAACATGCAGTGAGATACGCCTAGAAAATCGATAGATCACAGGTTTGTTTGCACAGACCATCATGCCTAAATAGTGAAAAATCTCTTCCTTCTATCTGCGTTTCGGTCGTTATTTCCGTTTGGGTTCAAAACGGTTAACCAAACCTAGAGTGTCAAGTCGTCGAAAGTGGGAAGCTATTAGACTGGTTTCAGGTGGCTATGATATGAACCGATCCCCTCATAATAATCATTAATCAAGGGCTGCATGTTTAAAATATCAGTGTAAGAATGCAGCTCTCGTTCCTAATGCTGATCTGCCAGCTTATTCGCCTTCAAAAGGGTGCATCCGAAGGTTGGCCAAAAACGCAGCCAACTTGTCCACACGCAATGAAAATGTGATGCTGATGATGGTTTTATCTTGTAACTAGTAATGTCGACGCATACAAACGTTCGGATCAGTAAATGTTGCATTGCAAAAAATAAGGGTCCCAAGAGGAGAGGAACTTTTATGCACAAAAGGTGAGGTAGCAAAAACGGACATCTTTGGCTGTTGAAGTGGTGTAGACGAAATCATGTGGCATATACCACTACGGCTTTTCCCAGCCATGTGTCGAACGAAGCATCTGTTCAGTCCAACGGTAATTACACTGGGCATTATCTCTTGGTAACTGGTGGTAAAATAATGCTATTGTTCACTAGGATGTGAGTCATTCCTATGTGTTTTAGTTAACCTACCAACCATACAATATGAATGACAATTCATTCTGCCAAATTCCTAGCTGAAAGACATACAGTCAACAGGCACTGGTGCTATGTGATTCTTATGACATTGTAAAGCGTCTTTACTTGGGCTGGTTATTAATTCTTATCCATGAGAAGTTTATTTTCAAACCCGTTATTTGTCAGACCAGCAAGACAGAGATAAGTTGCAACGTATATGCGCATTCTGAAGGTGGTCATTTACCACTTCTGATGAAACAATGGGTCCCACACGAATTTCCTATTCGGAACTCACAACTATGGATAGTGTACAGCCTAATCCTGGTAATCACTGGCATGAAGTTATACTTAATGTACAATTTCTATAGATAAAATCTGGACAATTGCTGGTGTGAAAATCCGGTCGTCCTGCTCTGGAGCGCAAAAGTGCACAATCGCGCCCATTGCTTTGTGTAACCAGACGGTATATCCAACAGCAATTGCGCTCATGTAAGTGAGAAAATTTGGTATCAACTTAACCAACCGGGAAATTGGATTTATTGCCAATGTGCTAATAGACGTCATAGATGAACAACACAACGTTTCGGCACATAGGGTCGCAGTAGCGCGCAAATACTGTCGTTCGACGGTTAAAGTTTTCATACTAAACCACAGGGTAGAAAACAATGTTTCTTGTAACGGTGCCAGCTAGCAACGAGCTTCACCTCGGTTTATGTTTCTCAGGGGGGCATTAGAGCGCACTCGTGATTTTGAGCCAAATGCGCTTGAGGTGTATTGCAATTTACTAACATGTATGTTCACTATTTTAAGATGTTTGCAATCAGTGTTTGAAAACTCAATGCGTGAACACTTACCACCTTCTCAGTCGTTGAACTAAGCACTTCTTTGGCCTGCATTAGGCACAACGAAAACAGTAACTCCTGTATCAGACGGGTGCGTAAAAATTATATTTATTTACTGACTGAATCACTGCGCCAAGCTAAATGTGACTGTTGTACACCACGAACTACTTTGACCCTGCCTGTCTTGCAGCAATTCCACTTTATCACTCGTAAAGCTGTCAACGCCCAAATGCACAACCAGGTAAACCAACCAGTCCCTCGAAGTTCAGTGACAGGTTAGTATGTGAATAAATTATTGGTTGGCAAATGGATGTCGACTGCACATTCCAGAGGTGTGCTAGGTCCCACCTCATGGCACTGTTCTCACCTTACGAGCACACATACAAGTATTGTGTCTGTTCACGCCTCGATCGCACCAATCAACCTGTTCCGTAGAACATTCTGTCTAGTGAAAATCCTTTATTGCATGTACGTATGAGATTTCGTGTAGCTAATACGAGCTGTCGTTAAAACAGGTTGGCTCAATTGATTTTTTCATAACATTTACCTATCAAATATAGCTCATAAAAAATATATTCGGTCGATAGTACTTCACTTTTCAATCGAAATTCCTTCTATCACCTTAGATGAAACTCATAAATGCACGTGACCATGTGCGTATAAAATCTGCAACACATGCTTCACTCTCTATACTGCTATGGAGTTGTAACTTTGGTAATGAATCCCGGTTAATGCCTAATCAATACTGCACTTACCTCTTACGCGGAAAGTTGTGACTAAAATAAAATCTTCAGAGTAGCAGGCACCTAGTAAAGTAAGACTGAGACTGACAGTGTATTTAAGAGCGAGTAGAAAGGTTTCTGTTCGACTTTAACGAATTATGAAAAATCAAAAGCATTTAATTACGAATAGTCAGCGGTAGTGTTTTGTCAGTTATTCGTTTATCCTTCTTCGGTTAGAAATTCGTATTGGTGTCGGTATTTCCAGGTATATCTTGTATCCTTTTTGTATTGTATCTGCAAGGTTTCACAAAAGTACAAGTTTCCGAAATGATGATCCATACGTATTTTAAAACACTTCACAAAATCAGGCTCTATTATTCCTTTAGGTATTGTATTCCATATGTTCAAGATTCTTCGTTCTATACAAACCTGATATGATACACTGTTCATACAGCGGACTCTGAGTTTGTAACGGTGTCCTCGGGTGATACAGTGTTACTGCAGGTGAAATATTGGCCGCAGTATGAGGCAGTGATTCAAGTGTAGTACTCGATGGATTCTAATAAGTTCCATTCTTACACGGCGGTAGGCTTGTGTGTAGAGTCCGAGCCTTTCGCTACGTTTTCATGCGGAAGCTTTCGTAGACTTAGTATCATTCTAGTTGCGATGTGCTGTATTTTCTCCAGCTTTTCTGTTTCCCACTGGGTTATCGGATGGTAAGCTGGGGCGCCGTATTCAAGGATTGGTCTAATGAGCGAGGTGGATAGGCGACAGGGAGTTTCTTCTGACCAAATGGATAAACTGCTTCGTAACGCCCAGAGCATACGAAGTCCTGCAGGGTACACTTTCTCTGTATTATCTAGTGACCTCATATCACGTCGCAAGAGCATTCCTAGGTCTCTGACAGATGTGTTAGTGTGGAGCAACTGGCCGTCCAAAATGTATGAGCGAGTGGCTGGACGTCTGGCGATCCTGATGAAATTCGACTTGTTTGCGTTAAGAGGGAGTCGCATTTCAGTGGAACAATTTGACAGTCGATCTAAGTCATGCTGGAGGCGAGCGCAATTGTTCTGGTTCTCAACGATCTTCCAAATTTTAAAATCATCTGCAAACAGGGCACATGGTATCTGGAGCTGTTGCAGGGGATCGTTGATATGAATAAGAAATAATACTGGCCCACGTATAGTTCCTTGAGACATGTCACTGGTCGATGGGAACCAGTCTGTCAGGTAGTCATTGACCTGCACTCTAAACTTTCGTCCCACAATAAACTCGTGTAACCACTGAAGTAGCGTGTCACCGATTCCGTAGGTCCTCAGTTTACCTAAGAGTAGTAGTCATGTCTCTCAGTCTGGTTTGGCCGTCCGCATCGGTCGCTTCATCAGTTGAGTATTGATTTAGCAGATCAGTCTATCTGGAAAATAAGTCAGAAAGCAGTGGTTGAACACAAAGGTAGGTGTTTGGAGACGAGGTGTCAGCGCAAAATTGCATTCCCACAAAGTGTTGCAGCAACAGCAAAGACTCAAGCATTCTTCATGAAAAGTAGTAGCTCGTCACATCTAGACTCAGTCAGATAGTCACCACACACCCAGAGAAGCACGATGCGGATTTTTCATTCTTTCGGAAATCGTTATCAGTCCGCGCTCCATCTGACTTCCGTGGGACTCCAAAAGAGAAGTTGATTGTTTCCAGTATCTTGTTGTAGAAACTGAGCTAGGGGGAAGGAAAATACCGTCCTGACTAAGTAACTTGATGTAATATATCGCCGCTCACTATCGTTGGTATTGATTCCACAATTTCTTGATGCTCTGGCCGTCATAGAGGATAATAAACGGCGCCCTATCTGCTGCATTGAACAGGGTAGTTAGAGGTATGGATGCTACTGCTCCGACCTTCCCGTCTTCTTATCCCCCTTCTTGCGCTTCTTCATCCTTATCGTCACTCTCCAACTTTACGTTTATCCCCCCATTTTCATTCCCCCACTCCTTGGCCCTCCCCCACCTTGCTTTATTAGGCGCTTGCCTTCTAGTTTCAAATCACACACAATCGCAGGGCTTCGCTCCAATCCAGTCGACAAGTCCATGTTCAACCAACCGCACAACGTCAGTTCATCCGCTTCACTTTGCTAAGACTGGCGTGCCTGAACATGCGCACTTTGCTACAGATCGGCTAAAAGACAGCACTTGCCCGCACACTAGAAACCCTATCGATCGATATTTGCTGTTTATCAGAAATTCACCCGCAAGATTCGAGCTCCGTGGTTACCCTGCGATTTCCCACATGCGACACTGGCGGCACATTCTCATTGCGCCTGTCTGGCGATGATGCAGCTTCAAATGCTGGTCAAGCTGGCGTCGGCATTGTTTGGAGTCCCCTGGCTGAATTTGCCCTGATCGATTGGATCCCAGTAAACAGTAAGATGAGCGCCGTTAGATTACCTGGTTCGTTCCGTGCTACGAAGTCGCGGTGGGACAAATGGTGCCTGTTTGTCAATGCGGCCTACGCCCCTACAAACTGTAGCACTGATTCGGTGAAAGATGGTTTTTATCAGCAACTTCACGAGCTCCTTCGTTACAGAAGAAGCACGGATACTGTGGTATTGGCTGGCGATCTAAACTCCCAGGTCGGAAAACTATCCTCTGATGAGCTTCATCTGGGCGGCCAACATAGTGTAGGCTCCCGTAATGATAACGGTGAGCGATTGCTACAGCTGTGTGAAGATGCTCGCCTCTTTCTCTTGAGCAATAACTTTCGATACAGCACCCGCAGAAGCATGACTTGACGGCCACCAGCGTCGGGCCATCCATGGACGCAAATCGATCATATCACGATCAGTTACTGCTGGAGAGGCTGTGCCCAAAACTGTTGCACGATTTGGAGCACAAGCGTGGACTCTGACCACGCACTTGTCTGTGTCGACCATCGGGTGCGTTTCGGTGGACGTCCGCAACGTCGATGTGAACGGATTGACACCAGCCAGCTGGCGAAGTCAGGTATTCTGAATGTGTATCAAAGTGCGCTGCCATCTGGGCTAAGCGCCCACTGAACACCGTCGAAGATCACTGGTCCCATATTCGTCAAACGTTATTGTTAGCAGGCATGTATTCATGTGGCAAAGCAAATTACCAAACCGGACATTGGGTCTCTACACAGTCTCTGGAACTTATCGATGCCCGCCGAATGCAATGAGGTTCGCAAAATCCTTATGGCAAAACTACGTGCGAAACCTGTTGGTCTCATCGTGCCTCTGAGATGGAAACAACCGCTACCGTTGGCAATCATCATAAGTTATTCCGTCTGATACGGGAAACAGGGAGCAGGAGACCTGGTGTTAGCGAGACCATACCCAACGAGAGTGAGCAGCCGATCCACAGCCTGTCTAAACGATTGAAGAGTTGGACTGAACAACTTGCAAGGCATTTTAACCGCCCTGAGTTATCGGTTCCTTTTTCGGGCATTGAGCGCCCTTCTCCCTGGGCCGTCTCATTGGATCCGCGTTCACGCGCAGAAGTCGAAATTGAGATAAGGCTGTTGAAATTACCTAAGAACGCAGGGGCAGAGAGAATTAACCAGGCCTCATAAATTGAGGGAACTGCTCTAATAGACGATTTAACCGAGTTACTAGTAAAACTTTGGGAAAAGGAGACTGTACAAACAGACTGGAACCACTCCGTCATCGTCCCAATTTTCAAGGGAAATTCCGTTAGGAATGCGGAAATCATAGAGGGATAAGTTCGATTTCGATTGCCGCTTAATTTAAAGCACTTTCACCTTATCAATCTAAAAAGAAAATGAGAAGAGTGGTATTGCGAGATGGAACTATTTCGTGTTATCGGCTCATTCCCAAACTAACAACATAAAGCAGCATCACGTGACAGAAAAATCGAAGATTTGAAACTGGTCACAAAGCAAACTTACGTAAAGGCCAGTATAACAGATCAACGAGCTCGATCTTAGGGTCATGAGCCCCAAGGAAGCTTCAGGGAGACTGTTAATTGCTTTTGTACACAAAGGATAGGGCAATGCCGGTTATGTGCCTCGGCAAACCTCAACACTTTGGGGTTGTCATTTCGATAGATAACTGTGAGTGTTGACCTAAGGTCAACCTGATGGCCTGATTCGAGTACATGTCTGGCGATCGATGATGCCGGCAGCTTAGATACCTATTCTCGTTCGGCTGCTGATTGTGTCGATATTTTAGCAATCCGTTTTGGGATATGCTCTCTAATGCGCTTACCCAAGGATCGATCTGTTCTTCCAATGTAACTACTACCGCAGTTACAAACGAATTGGTAAATACAACGGGTTGTGGCGGAGATCGGTTGAATAGGCTTCACTGGAGGCATAGGCAACTTCCTGGTCTCCCAAATTGGGTAGAGTTTGGCGACATTGAATGTCCGACGAATCGTTGTATACAAACGACTTTCAAGTTGGGCGGCCACGATATCCCCTTTGAAAGGTAATTGAAGGAAGACAGACAGTTTGGGCACAGTAAGTTCCCT